AATAATCATAATAATAAGTCAGGTCAATTGCACATGTCAATCAATCAACCATGTATATTAGGAAAAGCAATGTTAATATAAATACACAGTAAAACAAAACAAAAGAAAGTACTGAGTACAGTTTATACCAACAAAACCCGGACTATTATTTCTGAAAAAAACGACGACAATAAAGTTTCACAAGATCATGGATCGATTGAAGTTAGACATTACCGTTGGATGCCAGTTCAGTGGTCTAGAGGTTAAGGGTTCGCGTGCAAGACCGAAGATCCTGAGTTTAAGTCCCGGGTACGGGATCGTGGATACGCACTGCTGAGGAGTTCCATACTAGGATGAAACAGGAGTGCAGTGCTTTCAGGTTTTCAATGGTGGTCTAGCTTACATCAGCTATTGATTTCAACTGTGAAAGTAAACTTTATCTTAAGTTTCAATTGATAACCGACGGTAAACATTCATTACAATTCGAACATTTTTAAGGAAAATAACAAAAATCGATTAGGAGAGACAAAAAACGAATTTTTTTACTTAGAATGATAGTCTCATACATATTAACTTAACAAAACACATAGATGCTTTGATAAAACTGACATATACACCACATAAAGAGAGGAAGAGTTGAACAAGTATCATCACTTCTATGATGAGAACTGAAGAAAAATGATGACCACCTGGAGTTGTTAATTAGTTAATTTTATGAACAACGTGTGATCTCGTATTAAAACAAATGAACATCCTGAACACTATAACGAAAAAAAGGTAATAATATTGTTATAACGAGGTGAATATTGAAGACAAAGAAACTTTTGGGATTATTTAACAAATTATTATATACACTATTATGACTAGATAATTATTTTTATATTCTCTGTATGGTACAGTTTCATTAGGTCCATTAAATGTCGTTGTACAATTCATTACTTCTCAAATATCGATAATCAATCGAAAGATCCTGCTGATTTCCCGCTCTTGATTTGTCTGATGGGCATCCTCATTTATTCGATAGTTGGTGCAGTGACATCCATAGGAAGGTCTGCAGGTGCTGCTTCGATATCCAGTGGATTCGATGGAGATGGTCTATTTAAGAGTTCCTCGAAGTATTCTACCCATCTATCCCTCTGTTCTTGAATCTCGGTGATTAGCTTGCCTTCTTTGTCCTTGACCAGTCGCTCTGGTTTACTACATTTTCATGCCAGTTTCTTTGTTGTGTTGTATAGTTGTTTCATATTTACTTCTCTTGCAGCTTTTTCCACTGTCGTTGCTGGGTCTTGCACGAATCTCTGTTTATCGGCTCAAATGCTCCTCTTTACTTCCTTGTCTGCTTCAGTGTAATCAGCTTGTGCCTTGATTTTGTCTGCTCATGTTCGGCTGTTGTTAGTTGCTGTCTTTTTTTAAATTTCTTTCTTCAATCTTGTGCAGGGTCACGATAGAGATCCATTCCTTATGATGATGCTTCTTGTGGCTCAGAACCAAACCTCCTGACACGTTGAAGTTAGTGCTTCTTTGATCCCTTTCCAATTGTTTCTTGTTCTTTCAGTAGATCCTGTAAAGCTTGGAACCTGTTGTTGAGAGTTATCTTGAATTCGTTGAGTTCGTCACTATCTCGAAGGAAGTCTGTATTAAACCTTTGTAATGCTATTTGTCCAATGCTTCTCTAGCTTCAGTTTCATCTTGGCAACCATCAGGTGGTGATCTGAAACTATGTCAGTTCCTCTCTTGGTTCTTACGTTTTCCGTTATCCTTCTGAATATTTTAGTGATTCAAATATGATCGATCTGGTTTTTGGTGGTGTGATCCAGTGAGATCCATGTAGCTTTGTGTGGGAATATTGTGCCGCCTATAATTGATTTTTTGAAGGCACATATATTTGCAAATCTTTCCCCATTTTCATTTCTCCCTCCCAGTTCATGTTGTTCCATGACATCTTCATAATTGTTGTTGTCCATTCCGACTTTGGCGTTTAGATCTTCTATCACGATTGTCAGGTCCTTTCCTGGACATTTTGTTATGATCAATTGTAGCCTCTCATAGAACTGATCTTTAACGTCGTCATGGCTATCATTGACGGGTGCACAACATTGGGTAATATTCATTGTTATTTCTTCCTTCTTTGTTTTGAATGACGCTTTGGCGATCCTGGATCCATGAGATTCCCATTCTATAAGTGCATTTCGTGCTTCTTTAGACATCATCAAAGCAACTTGGTGAATGTGTGGAGCATATTCCTCTTCGTGACCGGAGTACAATAGCATCTTTCCCGTATCTAGCCTTTGTTTTTTAGCATGATCTGTTGGGGATGTCAAATCCCCAGAACTTACTTGGTAAATGGCTTAATCTTGTAGTTTTATTTTGAAAATTTGAATTTAGCTGTTTTCGCGCCAAAAGCGCTCTTTTTACCTTCACGTCATATTTCCCACCTGTAAACTATCTTAAACGCTATTGGTCCATTGTTTCTTTGTGTGTGCTATTTACCAATGATGCTCAAGGACAAATTGTTGTTGTATAAATGCGCTTGACTTTTTCCATTATTCGATTGCTTGTACTCGGCTGCTTACGGAATACATATATATTCCCCTACTTGCCTTGGACTTCTTCATCTAGTTAGCGGGGCCTGGGACAACAGATTAGAATAGCTTATCGTGTCATTGTGTCATTGGCTTTCGCTCGTTACCGCGGAATCGATTTAGTGTCAAACATAACATGATCCCAATGGGTTTCGCTGGTTCCGAGTACTGCCAAGTTGTATCTTCTCATTTCTGCTGCTATTTGTCTGGTACTTCCGGTCTCCCACATTGTCCGGACATTTCATGTATCTATAAAAATTGTTGCTCTGGTTGTTAAAAGGGGCATCAACCTCTTCACTTTCGAAAAATCTCGGCTTTCATTATGAGGCGTCATAATTCTTCTTTGAATTCGCAGAGCCGGGTTTAAATGGTTTATTCTGGTTGGCGTTTTCTTCAGCAAAGTTGTTTTCTACGGGATGAGGTTGCTGACCGCATGCCCGAATCCTCCTCCTTTACCCGGGCTTGGGACGGGCAGTAGCCCTAGAAGAGCTATAGGCAGAGTTTTTAAAGCGTGTTACGATCTGTTAATTAATGTACATAAAGTAAAGGGAGTTTGAGAAAGATATGCTGAGTGTCTGATATATAATAATAAAAGCTTGTCAGCTGTGTTCCCTTAACGGACTCAAGATTAGGGATAGATAGAAGCGCTTATACTCGTGATCTAATAAGAGTCAAGATTATTGTATCAGTCCCTGAAGTTACTAGTGCTAGACTAGACGTCTCATTGGTCAAGCTACGTAACCAGTTAAAAGACAAACCTGCAAAGTCGAACACGAGAAGAATAAATTATGATCTCTATTGACATGTTTTCCCCAAGTTATCGACTAAGGAACTGCAAGCTAGTGAGTAGTTACAACAAATACATAACTAATGATTAATGAGACTGGTATGTACTGTTTCACAGATGAGAGAGTAAAAAATCATATATAAGTGAACGTGTCCTTTCTGGTTTAAGTACTACAAAAATACCACCAAACTTAATTTCAATACGAGATATTGGCTCAAGCACAAAATAAAATTAGAAGACCATCAATTTGAACCGGCTCATCAATTTTTCTCATTTCTTTTCGGTTTTAAAAAAATATTCTCTTACCTTAACAATCAGCGTAATTAACAAACTAACATGCATACATACATACATATAGAATTGGCCTGTATATAAAAAGTGTACAGTATGTTATGACAGTTGCTGTCGCAAGCCACTTAGATTGTGAGCTTTAATATTATTAGTGTTATTACCACGATTGAATACGTGACTGTTACTATTTCTTTTCTTACGACCCAGCTACTCTTATCGCTCAGTAATGTTGATCACTACTCCACTCTACAAACCCCCAATTCAGGACACGGTTAGACAAGAACATGACTATGTTCCAAATAACAAGGGTGGGTGGAAGTAAGAATCACTATAAGAAAAACGTCAGAATATTTAAGATTTTTACATAAAAAGATTTTAGGGTCTTCTTCAAATAACCACTATCACTGATTGGTTAAAAATAGCCAATCAGCGTGCCGCAACACAATCTCGCATGGAACACATTTTAACCTAACATATATCCCGCTAACAGTAACGAGTACCTGAAATTGACAAGCGAAGTGAAATGTTTTCTTACTGAGACAATAGTCAAACAAATGTGTTTTTAAGTGAAGTTAACAATTTTCTACCCTATAATATTAAAACACAACTGGCTTGAACTAATGGTTGTCAGTATACTTAAATTTTAGGACATTTTAATTCCCAAAACTACCATTAAACATTAACATCAATTGGGAGTTAACGATACGCATACGAGAGAGAGGTGAGAGATGTGATGAAATTTTTAAAAAAACTGGAAGAAAAAAATATAACAACACTTTAACGATAAGTAATAATGTAATACGAATGATGAAGAACTATCTTTTTTAAAAAATGATCTGTGTCATTATATAAACAATATCACTGATTATATCTTTGTTTAGATAACTTTGAAATGCAGATAAGCAGTGTTGATTAAAAAGGATAATTAACGTTCAGTGATCAGTAGAAGAAACGAATGAAAATAAAGCAAGATTTATTGTTTGCTAACTAAGATCCAGAACGACATAAAAACGTAGTGATTTGTAAAGGTTTGGTATTTTTTGGTTTATGTTAAGGACTGCAAATATCTAGTCTCTATTGATATGTGTGAATCTTGAGAAAATTTCCTTGATATTGGCAGTGACTGTCTGGAATTCGAAGCTCTGTGAGTAACGCATTGGCGTTTGAGGAGAAAAGAATTAAGTTTGAATATGTATAGACAGTAATATTAGGAAACCAGGAGTATCTAGTTTATAAGTCCAAAATAAGATGAAGTGCGCGTCCTGCAATTCACCGCTAGCCACTAGTCAGTTATAGTAAAAACGTAATAGTAAGAAATTATTAAATTGACTTTTCCTAACAATTTATAAATTATAACTTACAGGATTTGTCAGTCGATTCAAAACAAAATTGATTGTTTTCAAAAACATTTCAGCATCTTCTTGTTCCGGAAAATGTAATCCATATACTCTAGAAGTGATTGGATCACGCCATTCATGAAATTGACCATGTATTTGATACTCGAGCCCGGCTTTTAACACTGAATTAACAACAACCTAAGAGATAAAGAATAAAAATAATAGAGATGAGAATGTCGATGGATAAAAAAAAAGTTGACAAGCATGAAATAAAGTGAAATGAACCTCGTTCTGTATTCTTATTATAGGTCATATGCAAAAAGAAATAAGGTACCATAATTGAGACTTAACTTGAAACATTGAGAAAAGGTAACTAACTGAAAGTTAAATTACAGTATTACGCAAATCCTTTGTTAAAAGAATATATAAGAACACTACATATGGATTAAATTTTGCAAATTATTTAGTTTATTTGAAATACACCTCTATGACTATATAATCTCATTGGTGACAAGTGTTTAGCTTCTAGAGTCTTTTAAATCTACCAGTAACTATTTTTAACCAGAACTTCAGTAACATCTTGGACTAAGTTAATAGTGAACTGACCGTTACAGCTTAGCTGATGAGTTTTCGTGGATGTTTGTTTAAATTATATTCACCACAGACAGATTTCAGCTAAGGTACCATTAGAAAGGCAAAGAAAAGTCGACACATGTTTTTATCTTACTATACAACTACCTGGTACTGAACACCATGATACCACCAGGGATCAGGCTCTTCAAGTCTTGTAGTGAGCGTCCGACCAGCCCAATTTGGGTTGGTTTCCAGTTGTACAATCTTAACTTCAATTGATTTGCGTTATAAAGTGAAATTCATCCAACGCCATAGTGGTGACAACGGTTTCACTTCCGATATATCTAGTGGTATCTCAACTAAGATCAATATAAGATGAATATAGACGACAAATCAAATCAAACTCCATAAAAACGTTTTAGCTAAATTATTTAAAAATGAATTTTTGATGGGATCCATGATTTTTCTGAGAATCTAGTCCCACTGTTTCTAAAGGAAAAAAACAATTAGAACTAAAATGATTAAAGATAAATAAAGTTGAACTATATTTCTGTCAAAAAAAGGTGAATCACACTGGCAGGAGAAACGATGAAACTAACGAATTTTAATTGTTAAAATTAAGAAAGGATTAACAGTTAATATATTTAATAGATAATGATTATAGTCACTCAAGTAACTATGTCTGAAGTAATGTGGTCCACTGTAGATCAAGTGGTTTAATTGGTTACAATACTCGGATTTCAACCACGAAGTCACTGGTTTTAGTTCTGGCTCTATCTACACACTATGGACAGCCAGACGGAATAATATATAAAAGAAATACAACAAGGCTCTTATACATAAACTTGTTAGTTGGTAAATGAACTACAATATCAAATCATAAACTATTAGAGACTATTGAACAAGACCAAACAATCTTACATGCAAGACATAGTCAATTTATTAGCAGCTGAGTAACTAGACTATTAAATTACATCATTACTACGTGATTTCTAACAAGTTGTTTGATTTTTAAGGTCAGTTTTCTAACAAAATAACAAATATATCGACCAACTATTTTACTTAGTAAGATACATAAAACAAAACTTGGTGCGTAGATCAGAAAATGTAGTTATATCTATATAATTAAAGTTCGGAAATTCTGATCATAGATAAACACATCTGATTGCGAACTCTATCACAGTTACTTCAGCTGGAAAAATTTTGAGAACTAAGAACCACTTATTCGATTTTAAAGCTACTCCGTTGTACGAATTCAGTGGAGATCGTACTAGCCGCAACTAATCAACAGTTATAGTCAACACAGAGCCTGGAATGTGTCAGATTAAGTTGCTATACTATCATCAGGGAGTTGTTGAAGATTCTACAAAGTGATTAAAATAACAAATTGAATACAAAGTCAAGAGTACGTATGTGTAAATTCAACAACTGTGGTGTTATACAGAAGATGAAACGTTAATTAACTGGTAAGTGTTTACTTTTACAGTTAGAGAAATAGGATGAATTAGTGACAAGAATTAATGATCATTACTTGTTGTAAATACTGAAATCCCCCTACAGAAAAACATTAACATTATAAATCAGTTCTGAAAATATCACTTTTCCTAAATATCATGTACAATCGATTATATACATCTTAATTGTGCAAATATATATGGATGTCTACAAAAAAAAAATAAAGAAATTACACCACTACTGGTAATATACCAATGATAAGTAATAGTGTAAATATATTATGAACTTGATTACATCATAAATATGGAATTGTTTATATTACATAATAGGTAAACTAAATTTTAACTAGCATACACAGTAACATTAATATTTTTTTTAAGTAAATGAACAAGTAAAACACATTAGTCAATACCATATTTATTCATGAATTAACTTATAATGAAAGTTAGAATAGAGAGTGTAAAACCATGTTAACTTCACAGACATACTGACAAAGTTAATTTTTATAATGTAATGTGCAAATTCTGTTGCCGTAGGTAACTCGAACTGTTATTGGTTTTGCTTCATTTATTCCCCTAATTATAATTAGTTAACTAACTAAACATGTTTTCAGTTCGCGTGAAGATACTCGATGATAAGACAAGCAATCAAAAATGACAAAATATAAGAGGACGGCCAAAATCACTTACTAGATGACCTACAAGCCATTCTTCAGTAAGTTCGATGCAACAGGGGAAGGGATCATGCTATTGGTTGGTAAATAATTAATCCTATGAATTTTAACTTGTTTGACTGATTGTAAATATTAGATAGGTTTTGTTCTTGAGGTAATGTCAGTGAAAATTCGTCAGACGACTTTTATCAACCATCTAACCCACCAGCCCGAAAACTTTCACAAATCAAGACAGAATGTATAGCTATTTTGTTTCAGTTTATAACAGGTCAGTAGCCCTCAAAAATGGTCAGTGATAATGTCTCATCATTAATACTTTATAATTCCAGGTACGCCTTGTGGACGAGTACAAACTAGGACGAAACATGTGTCATGAGTTTCTCACTAACCAACTCTAATCAACCCGACGCCTCAACACAGTAAACGTAATATCGAGTCATACAGATTGGTGGCCATAATGAAACTCGACCGATAGAATTCGACCAGCACCGAAAGACTAGACAAATATAACATTCTTCATTACTCAGTGATCATTCGATAGTTAGTTTAGGGGGTTACACGCAATATGTACCAAAACTTCATAAAGCATCGAATCCATAACTTATAAGCGCCTTGTGGAATGATAGCTCTGAGGTGTTGAAGTGGAATTCAGTGGCCCACTCTTTGAATTGTAGCTAACTGAGAATATATTACACCAACCGCAGCTGGATTTCAATTATAAGCAACTAACTGTTTTACAAATAAAACCCAATTAATATTGATATGTAATGGGTTTTACTAACTAAACATATGAGAATAACTGAAAATAAAGACGACAATCTACAAATGAGTATGTCATAATATAGTAAATGTTGCTTTCATTAGAAAAACAATTGAATTAAATTCTTTAAACTATCTAAATTTGACAAGTTAACAATAACCATTAAAATTTTTTATAAATTTCTTTATATATTAAACCTAACCTAGATCAACATCAGGGGTTATACAGCATAGCGAGAATTTCACCGGAACTCTATCTTACTACAATTATACTTAGGCTAAACTCGTTGTCAAATTGGTTGCTACTGATAACGTGGTATCAGAAAGCGAGATACGAGGTTCTATGATTGAGCCTAGTTCAGGAACAACCAATGGTAGATGAAATATGCATGAAAATATGCATATAAACAAGTATATCATAATCTCTCCGTTAAAAAAAATAGAGTACATTGTTGAAGTGTTCGTTTAAGTATTAAAGAGTACATAAATTAAGAATATAGTACAGATAAACCAAAAGTAGTTTCTCTAACTTAATAAATATACACAGTCCAAAGAAATTTTAAGAGATATGAAATGGGGCTAATACAATGTCTATAAAACTTTTCAGTATCCAACTGTTGATAATATTAGCAAAAGTCATTGATATACCTGAGTTTGAGTTGCGTGTGTGAGGATTACTACCTCAGTTGTTCCGATAGAAGTGAAGTTTAAATCTGAGATTTAAGTGGTTGAAAGTCGAATGATCTAATCACTAAGCCAACAAACATTCTGTTAACTGAGGTAGAAGTGTAAATACAAACATACTTACTTACTTACGCCTGTTACTCCTCGTGAAGGAGCATAGGCCGCCCACTAAATACAAACATATTCCAACCAAAATGACAGTCAATCAGTCCTGAGAAATACGGAACCTGGTAAATAGGTACACCATAGGTTCAAGTTGTCACACCATATGGCCAAAGCAAGATGAAGTTATCAAGACAAATCCCAGATTAAAAGTAGTAACAGTATTAATGGTAACAGGCGAAATTAGGCAAAGACAGTATGATTCGACAGAAAGAGAATTTAAAAATAAAAAGTATGAGCATTTTAAAACAAAGAGTGAAGTGAGTCGGCGCCATTGTGAACGATTCTGAGCGATGTTATTCAACGTCTCCGACCACTGATCACGGTTACCAGGCGACCTTAACTAAATAATCTAAACCTACCAGTAGGACTCAGTCTAACCGTCAATGTCTTCATGTACTGGTGTCACATCCCGGTTCGGTCATCTAGCTTCTTTCCAACCTGGTCCTATACTAGCAAATATCGCGCGTCAAAGTATATGGTAGGATTAGGCACACGCAGTACATGTCGGAAATTAGTACAATCAATCAAATTCATATAAACACTATTTAGATGAGAAACAGTTGATTATATTTGTTTATTAGTAATTATTATTAATCTGTCTTAGAAAAAAATAAAACGATGGTTGAATAGAAAACAAAATTAAGGCTATCTGTATGCTTACAGTTAGCTGAACAAGTAAACAAGGAAAAACAACTAATAAATGACATCCCAGTGTATGATTAATACAGTCCAATAATTAATTTTACACACAACAAATTTACCATTATCCCTTTTGTCCAAAAAAACAATAATTACTATTATTAGTTAATCATAGTAACCGGAAAGAGGACAAATTCTACTCTAATGAATATAAACACACACACACACACGTACACATGTACATTACAAA